ACTCTTTTATTGAAAAGAATTGGCGGCGTGCGGCTGCCCCTTGGGTCCCCGCGGGGAATCTGCCTGCCATATTATACAATGACCTCAGGGTGAGTATAAATCACAGGTTTAGCATGTGACAATCGGAGGTAAAGAAAGGTAGTGTTACAATACAAAGCTCTTCCGGTGGGGGATAGACAACATTATATGGGAATGGCTAGTGTGACAAAGGAATTAGCAGGTGAAGCAATGATCATGCGTTTATGCATATATCATAATCTTACGGAGCTCTAAATGTAACATATAACATATACGATTCTAAATCAATTTCAAAAAATGTATCTTTAAGAAAGATGGTAAAGACAAGACTGCCAAGAAATTACATTCATCACAAGAGGAAGTCAAGGAAAAAGATGAGGGAGAAGAAGAAGAGGTAGAAGGCGAGGAGTAGAAAAATAAGAAAAAAAGAAAATGAAGAATGAGAAAAAGGCCATGGAAATGCAGTTTAGGGCTGCCTGTAAGCCCCAATGAAGAGGATATAGTAAAAGTTCTCATTTTAACTTTTTCTCTGTGATCACTTAGGAAGATGAAGAAAAGATTAGAAATCTCAACTCCATTCCCGGCTCTTAGAGGAAAAGGAGGCAAAGGAAAAGGAAGATGGTACAGATATAGGAGGAGGAGGTGGAAAAGAAAAGAAAGTAAGGAAGGAGAGGAGTAGAAAAGGAAGATGAAGAAGGCCGTGGAAATGCAGTTTAGGGCTGCCTGTAAGCCCCAACGAAGAGGATATTGTCAATGTCATTGTCGCGGATGAGGAAGAGGAAGGGGCGGTCGCAGGTGAAGCGGAGGGGCGGTGGTGGGATGGCCACCGACGTGATCGCAATCACAACCGCCGTCGCCGCTGCTGCTTCGGCGCCCTCTTCGTCCACTTCCACCACTGCCTTGTGGATGATGTCCGTGGCTCGGAGGCCGCCGTCGGGCTTGAAGTTCGTGAGGTCGGCTTGGTCGGAGAATAGGTCAGCAACGCCCATGCGTACCAAAGCCTGGGTTGGGAACGGCAATACGACTTCAAGCTTAAAACAATTTTTGTGGCTCATAATTGTGCTGCATCAAACGTTTCAAGCGATTTAGTAAGGTAAGATTAGTTAAAGGAAGAACATAGAGACAAGTAAGGATACAGAATAGATGCAAACGAGTGAGAATACCTGCTGAAGCGTCTCATCGATCTTCTTCTCAAATTTGAACTTGGGGAACTTAAGCTGGACCGTTTGGGCGCGAGTATTCTTGAGCGCCGTCGTCAGCGTGGAAGTGGTGAGGCGCTGCACCATCTGGTCGAGCTCCCGGCCCGTCCCCTGGTCTCGAGGAAGGAGCACGAACATGGATGCGCCGCCGCCCCGGTAGGCCATCTCCAGCACCTGGGCGTCCAGCTCCCGAGACTCGCCTGGGGAAGAAAGCGCAGGAGCGATCGTCGCTCGTTGAAGCCGAGGAGGGGAAGATGGCTGAAGCGTCAGACTAGTCGCAGCATATCATCGTCTGTTAGATTTCACAACTAGTAAATATGGTAACTTTTAAATCGCTGCTAGTTAGTCTAGCAATCATATCTATATAAATCTTCGATAAAAATAATTCCAAAGACACAATTATGGAAAGCGGGAAAAATATCTGTATCATTCCTGATCCAATGGGACAAAACTACAGTTGGATTTTAATCAAATTGTCTGAACTTCAATTACATTATTCACTAAAGAGCCTGCACAAGGCATCCTTATCGTTTCCATTTTGTTAACCATCGAACAACTACTTTGTAATCTTGTATATCTTTTATACAATCAAGAACCTAACCAAATGTCGGCTCGTTTAAATAGGTTCCACGTCGAGGCGGGAATAATTTCCGTGTTTTTTTTTTTATTATCATTATTCATTGTACACTGATTCCATTCGCTAGATTCCCAGTGAAGGCCTTCAAGGTTCCGCAATGAGTTGCTGAGAAACACTTTTATGATTATAGCGTGTGGAATCAGGTGAAAAGGCAGAATGTACACGATTTCGACCTATCAACACGAAGAATTGCGAGCATCACTAGTCAATTTGCAATTTGAACCTAATGATAAAACTCACACGCTTATTTAACAGTACCTCTACATTCTCGGACTCCGATGCCTAAAACGTCGAAAATGTGTAGACGATTTTTTTTCCCGTGTGTCTGGGCATATGGAGGTCCTGTTGTAAAAACAAAAAGGATAAGAGAAAGAGACAGAGAAATAGAGATACTTTACCATATTTAAATTTGCCTTCTTGGTTCATCATAGGGACAGTTGCGGGGCTATTCGGCGTCACAAAGAACTTTTGCGGGGCCGTGTTCTCGACCTGAAACTGACGGTCCCACACGCCCTTGAAGTAGACTGCGTTGACGAGCACCATCACGGCTCCTGACACGCTGTCGGCTGACACTAACTGCGGAATTTTGCCTCTGGTTGTGTCGCTGACGAAACTGTTGATGTCCTCCGCCGCAGCTTGCGCTTGC